TTTTGAAATCTGACTCCCAAGAAACTAGCAGCAGAGGACAGGCCCAACCCAATAGCCAGGAACGGGGAGGAGCCTGAGCCTTCTTTTCAAATTGCTGAACCTTTAAAAAATTCCCCCAAGGTTTGGAGTTTGGAGAGAGAGAGAGAGAGAGAGAGAGAGAGAGAGAGAGAGATTGAGTTTTATCCTGGGGAATATGTTCTCCATGCCCCCCTCCAGAAAATATTATCCATATGTTTTGAATTTTTTTTTTGCTTTACTTATCAAAATTCTATTGCACAAGAGACTCTGAATCTGTCCAAGGAGCTCTTTTTTTAAATTAAAAATATATTTTTATTAATTTCAGAGAGGAAGGGAGAGGGAGAGAGAGATAGAAACATCAATGATGAGAGAGAATCATTGGTCGGTTGTCTCCTGCATGCACTCTACTGGGGATCAAGCTCGCAACCCGGGCATTTGCCCTGACCGGGAATTGAACCCTGACATCCTGGTTCATAGGTTGACGCTCAATAATTGAGCCACACCGGCTGGGCCAAGGAATTGTCTTTTAAAATAAATGTTTTATTTTGCTGTTGGAAATGGCTAATCACATTTTATCAAGAATCAGTAGCCTTCTCTCTCGGAAAGACTGAGTTTGACACTAAACAGGTTATGGATGTGGAGAAAGAAGGGTTATTTGCCACCACCAATCCCTAGTATTTATTGGACTATAAGATGCCTAGGACTATAAAGTAAGTGAAGGCCATCTGTCAGAATGGCTATCATCAACAAATCAACAAACGGCAAGTGCTGGCGAGGATGTGGAGAAAAAGGAACCCTCATACACTGCTGGTGGGAATGCAGATTGATGTAGCCACAGTGAGAACAGTATGGAGTTTCCTCAAAAAATTAAAAATTGAACTCCCATTTGACCCAGTAATTCCACTTCTAGGAATATATCCCAAGAAATCTGAAACACCAACCAGAACAGATGTACCCCTATGTTCATAGCAGCACAATTTACCATAGCTAAGATTTAGAAACAGCCTAAGTGCCCATCAGTAGATGAGTGGATTAAAAAACTGTGGTACATTACAATGGAAGAATACTACACTGCTGAAAAAAGAAGGAACTCTTACCATTTGCAACAGCATGGATGGACCTGGAGAGCATTATACTAAGCGAAATAAGCCGGTCGGAGAAAGATAAATATCACATGATCTCACTCATTTGTGGAATATAATGAACAACATAAACTGATGAACAAAAACAGATCCAGAGACAGAGAAGCATCGATCAGATAGAATATAATAGAAGTAATCCTGTTATTTGAATATTTTTAATATTTCCTACAACTTTGTGATATTATACTATGTTAGTACAGTTTTGGTAATATTATATTTAAATTTTTTTCTTGAAATATTAATGTTTTTGCATGTAATATATTTAAAATCACTTTTCTTAAAATATTAATGTTTATTGCATGTAAATAGCCAATTATTTTATATCTACAATCTGGTACTAGATTTATTTTGTATACTGTAAAAAAAATTAAGTAATTAAAAATTTAAAAAAAGACAAAATAAACATTTCAAATGTGGTAGAACTACAAAAAAAGTGAAGATTTTTAAATGAAAACTTTAGGAAAATGATGACTTATTAATATTAAACAATTAGAGAATAAGAAGTAATTCTCACATCCTTATACCTTGTTGGGAGAGTGGTAGTTTAAAATGAGAGTAGATTTTTCAGGGACTCCCATTATTCATATACTCGAGGCCCAGTGCATGGATTTGTGCACCGATGGAGTCTTTGGCCTGGCCTGTGGGGATCAGGCCAAAACCTGCTCTCTGACATTCCCTGAGGGGTCCCAGATTGCAAGAGAGTGGTTCTCGGGTGACACACCCCAGAATCGGGCTCTCTCCTCTCTGGTTCCAGGTGCGACACCCAAGAACTGCAGCTGCCAAGTCACTGCAACTCGGCAGCTCCTGGGTTGAGCGTCTGCCCCCTGGTGGTCAGTGTGCGTCATAGCTACTGGCCAGTTGGCTGGTAGCTTAGGCTTTTATATATATAGACTAGAGGCCCAGTGCACAAAATTCGTGCAGGGGAGGGGATCCCTCAGCCCGGCCTGCACCCTCTCCAATCCGGGACCCCTACACCTTTTTCTTATCTAGCTAACCTCTTCGCACTTAAAAAAATTAACTGAAATACCACTTACTCTAGGAAATCCTCTTTGAATAAATCTCTTTACAATCTGTATTAAGTATTTTCATAGTATACCATTCTTTTTCTTTAGCAGCAACTTAGAGTGGATGCAATCTGCTTCTCATTCTTGCCTCTGAATTCTTGTTGCTCTTGTAATAGCAAAACTTATCCAATTTACATTTGCCCTTCAAGGGTTTATATTTAGTTCAGTTTTTAGTTAGCTCCCTGCTTTTTTTTTTAAGTAATAAATTTGGGTTGTGATAGTAAACCTCACTTGCAATCAAGCCTGTAGGTCTCCCTATCTGAATATTTCTATAATACCTATCACTTTAGCATACCAGAGATTGTGTTCATTTATAGAAAATAACAATAAATGTCACCTGATCATTTGATTTTCTAGTAATATTTTATAGCAAGATGTATTATTCTAGTAATTTAACTCTTTCAAAACAGAGGCATACAGAAATAAATCACATTGAACAATAAAGAATGTCTCAAATATCAAAGCATAGTACACTTAGGGCCTCACCTATTCTGTGCCTCAAATATCATAGCATAGTACACAGTTCACAAGGAACTCAGCTCCTTTAAAATAGGAAGGGATGCCATACTCACGAAGCAGCTACTTCCACACATATTTTTTTAAAATTTAATTCATAGCACACATTCTGTGTATTAATTGTTGGAAAATCACCCTAACAATTGCCTCTGTTCCTAATGACGCGACCCTTTAATACAGTTCCTCATTTTGTGGTGACCCCCAACCATAAAATTATTTTCGTTGCTACTTCATAACTGTAATTTTGCTACTGTTATGAATCGTAATGTAAATATCTGATATGCAGGATGTATTTTCATTGTTACAAATTGAACATAATTAAAGCATAGTGATTAATCACAAAAACAATATGTAATTATATATGTGTTTTCCAATGGTCTTAGGCGATCTCTATGAAAGGGTCGTTTGACCCCCCAAAGGGGTCGCGATCCACAGGTTGAGAACCGCTGCTCTAGAGTATGACCCTCTTCCTGTGGTCCAATATGGTGCTAGAGCTCCAGGCAATGCCTCCAAGTTCCATGCAGTTGGATGGAGAAAGGAATTGAGAAGGAATAAAAAACATGTGCTAGTTGTCTTTTAAGTGGGGGTCTCTGGGAACTACCATGCTGTACTTTGATTATAGTTTATTGGCCTGAACTCAGTCACCTGAATCCACCTAGCTGCAAGGGCGACTGGAAAATGTAGCCACATGTTTAGTTAAAAATTAGGAGGCTTATTACTAAGGAAAAAGGGGAGAATAGACACTAGGGTAGCAACTATAGCACTCTCTGCAAAGGAACTAAGTCAGGTGATCTTAATGAAAGTAACTTGAGGTGTATTTGTGGACACTCATTTAGTGTGATTCTTTATAATCTTTCTCCTCCACCAAATAGAAGGTTTCTTCATGGCAGAGACTTGATCTATCTTTATATTCCCAGTTCGTCCTGCCCTGCTTCAGATATGAGTAATATTAACATGTTTTTGAAAGTGAGTATGATATAATCTAAAGCAAGTCAGGAAACCAGTAGCAAACGTTGCAGAAGAGTGTGTGTGGTGCCAATTTGTCTCAATAGACTATGAGCTTCAGAGTGAGAAATCACTGAATCTATCTGTCTTTAGAGTGCTGAATGTTTTAAAAAATATATTTTATTGATATTTTTTACAGAGAGGAAGGGAGAGGTATAGAGAGTTAGAAACATCAATGAGAGAGAAACATTGATCAGCTGCCTCCTGCACACCTCCTACTGGGGATGTGCCCACAACCAAGGTACATGCCCTTGACTGGAATTGAACCTGGGACCCTTCAGCCCACAGGCTGACGCTCTATCCACTAAGGCAAACCGGTTAGGGCAAGAGTGCTGAATGTTGACTGGACTTGGGTTGGTGAAAAGCCTTTTTCCTGATTAGCAGGAAATTAATGATAATATTTATATAGTATTTTAGTATATCTTCACAACATCACTGAATGCCATTTTCAAAAATCCTTATTTTATAGATGAAATGGAGGCTTAAAGAGGGTAAGATATTCCACTTACCAAGTGGCTGAGCTGGATGGAATTAGAAACCAGATTTTACAAAACCAAATGTACCTCTAGGGAAAGATAATTTTCCATTTTGGTGAAATCAGTGAGTACCTTCATGGAGAGGGCCACAACATCCTTTGATTTCACTTTCAGGCGGTCAGTTAAAGTAAAATCTGAAGAAATCAGGGCAATTCATGTTGCCAGATCTTTCTAACTGTAGAATTTTGATCCACCAACACTGTGGATAGTACTGTATCCTATATAATAAAAGGCTAATAAGCAAATCAACCGAATGGCAGAATGACTGGTCGCTATGACGCACACTGACCACCAGGGGGCAGACGCTTAATGCAGGAGCTGCCCCCTGGTGGTCAGTGTGCTCCCACAGGAAGCTGAGCTCAGGGCTGGCAGCTGGCAAGTGCAGCAGCGTGGTGGAAGCCTCTCCTGCCTCCTGGGCAGCACTAAGGACCCCTCAGGGGACGTCCAACTACCCCTCCCCCCCAGTGCACGAATATCCTGCACCGGGCCTCTAGTATGTCTCATAAAGGACTACGATTCCCAGCATGCCACGAGGTACCTTCGGGAAGACTTCGTCTCCCAGCATGCTGTACTTTGGAACTCCGAGTCCCAGAATGCAACGCTCGTCCTTGCTTCCAGAGGCGGTGGAGCCTACAGTTCCCAGCATGCAGCAGCACCGCCCCCAATTTTTGGTGCCTCGCCGGACCCTGCTTCGGAGAGACCTTTTCGATTCCCGAGGGCGAGTTCTGGCGTCCCGGGCCCCTTTGGGACGCGTGTCTGCGGGGGAATCCTGGCCTGCTGGGCCTGTCCAGACGAAATCTCGGAGAGATGGGTTGGGTCCTGGGCCGGGCTTCGCTCAGGCAGCGTTTCAGGCAGCCCCAACGGGGTCCTCCTGGGGCCTTCCTCTCTTTGAACCACGGAGGCGGGCAGGCTCGCCGTCTCCTGCTCCCCTCAGAGCGGGGCCCGCCATCACCATGGCCACGGTTGGGAGTTGGCCCTGCGCCGGCGGGTCGCGGGACATCTTGTGGCGCGTGAGTGCT